CATTGTTCCCGCAGGTACGGTGCTCCCGATCTCGTAGGCACTGTTATAAAAGTTCACTACATTCTTTGTTTATACGTGTTGAGGTGGTAGTGTACTTTCTTGCATTTTCATTCATTATATGTCTTGTAGGAGAGCGGAGCACTTATTTACAATCAAATGACATTGATTGTGCAAAGACTATATTTGTTTTGGATTCTTCGAATACACATTTATTGCCAATCCATTACATGTTAGATTCTTTTGTCATTTGCAGATGAGCCGCGTTGAATATGATGAGTATTTTATTGTTCAAATCTGACTCAAGTCCTGATGCCCAAGTAAGATTTGGATTTGCAGTTCTTCTGATTGAGTTTAGATTCCAATTTGATTTGATTTTTATTTGGATTTGACTTTTAGGAATCATTTCAATTTTGTTCAAGTCTTTTGCACATGTTCAATCGAGTTCAAAAGTCTGCTGCTCTTTCTCTTTTGGTCCAAATTTTTGTTCTTTTGAGCTCAAAACAGGTCCGAGTGTAGTAATATTTCACCCGAAATTTCGGCAGCCTCCCGGCGTCTCCCCTGTTTAGGGGAAAACTACGAGAAAATTGGGCCTTCCCACCACGAGCAATAAAGGTGTGCATGGTAGGTGCCTTCTTTCGAGGAAACCTCGGCCGTGATTTTTCTTCCCACCACGCGCAATAAAGGCGTGCATGGAGTCTTTGACGGTACCTGTTACAAGAAAAGAGCAGTTGCTTTCCCCTCGCCCAGGGGTACTTATGAATTGTTCCGGCCGCGCAAAGAAAAGGGTACACGAGGCTCGCCTGGCCTTGCCGTGTGTGTCGAACCGGTTTCCCTCCTACCACGCTCACTAAAGGCGTGCTTAGGTGGTTTGCCGGTCCAACACGCATGTCGAGACAGGAGGGCGAGGGTCACTCGCTTACCTCAACATAGGTGTCATGCTAGTTGCCCCTCCTACCACGCTCAATAAAGGCGTGCATAGGTAGACCGCCGGCCCGACACGTTAGTCGATATAAGAGGGCGAGGGTTGCTCGCTTACCTTGTCGTAGGTGTCGTGCTAGTTGCCCCTCCTACCACGCTCAATAAAGGCGTGCATAGGTAGACCACTGATTCTCCACGCATGACGCGGTAAGAGAACGAGAGGGGAGGCGACTGTCCGCCTCGTCGTAGGCGTCGGACCAAGGTCCCATCCCACCACGCGCAATAAAGGCGTGTATAGGCGGTTTTTCGGTCCGTCGTACACGTCGAGGACGAAAGCCTGAGTTTAGGAGGATTATACCTTCGGGGCCGGTGGACCGGCGGTCGTCGGTGAAGGCTCGGGGACCGAGGCGGGAGAAGGTATTTGCAAAACTTTCTTTTTTTGTTAATCTTAATTAATTAAAATTAATAATAATTAAATTTAATTAATTAAAATTAATAATAATTAAATTTAATTAATTATAATTAATTAAAAATAATAGAATTAATTATAATTAAACTTAATTAATCATAATTAATTAAAAGTTATTTTTAATTAATTATAATTAAAAAATAATTAAGTTATAATTAACTTAATTAATTAAAATTAATTTATATTAATTAAAATTAATATAAAAATTTTATTTACTAGATTTGGTCGAAGAAGCGCTCGAAAGGCAGAAAGTTACCTCCACAAACGACGGGCTCCCGTTGATGCTTCCGATTAGACAGAAGGGAAAGTCGACAAAGGGGCGGGGTCGGACAGCCAGGAAGGAGCCGAAGGAGCGATTGAAAGGGAGAAAGTTTCCTTTAGAGCAATCGAGCACCCGTTCTTACTTCTGATCAAAATGTCGACTTCCGATCCAACAGGAGGGAAAGTCGTCGATGGGAGCGAAGTCGCACAGCCACGACGGGGTCGGAGGGGCATGCGAAGGGGAGAAAGGCGCCTTCACAGCAAGCGAGCTCACGTTCTGGCTTCCGATCCGACCCGACCGAGAAGGGAAAGTCGTCAAATGAGGGAAGTCGGTCGGAGGGCGTGGTCGAACGGCCTCGGAGGGAGTTCGGCCGGCTCTGGTCGTGAAAACAGAGGAAGGATCGGAGAGAGAGAGCTTGCGGGAATCGGCCGAACGAAGCCTCCCTTCGACAATTTAACGATGCATTCGCGTCGTATAGACGACGTGGGAGATGCGGCTTCGGCGTGCCAGTGACGTGGGAGGATGTCGCGCGACATGGGGCTGCAGGGAGTAGGTAAGATTTGATTGATTTTTTTTTGTTTCAGTCTTACGGGTCAACAAATGCCCCCCAGCAAATGTGGTAGGCGTCTGGAGCGGGCCACGTTTGTTGTATGCTAATTGACCCTGTGGATCTCTAGATATTTATTCTAGATGTCACACTAGGGTTTCATTTAGTGGATCTCCAAAAATTGTTTGGATGTCACACTAGGGTTTCATTTAATGGATCTCCAAAAATTGTTTGGATGTCACACTACTCTCCTTTAGTGGATCTCCAAAAATTATTTGGATGTCACACTACTCTCCTTTAGTGGATCTCCAAAATTTGTTTGGATGTCACACTACTCTCATTTAGTGGATCTCCAAGATTTGTTTGGATGTCACACTAGAAATTCTTTCTCCATAGATCTTTTAGATGCATCCATAGGTGGTTGATATTCTATCTTCATGGATTGATGCTAGTGGATAGCATATATTCAAGACTGCTAGTTTAGAAGGCAATGATATGAGTTTTATACATTCTTTGAATCAAATTCGAACTCCTATTTTGAACCTTGTAGTATGTGTATAATCTTTTTGAACAAGTTTGAAGCTCTTTTTTGAACCAAGGATTCCAAACTAATCACTTTTTTTTATTTTAGGCAAATTCTATCCACCTAATATTAGGTTTACCACTTTTTCTCCATAATCTTCAACACAAATTCCATGAACTATCTAATGTGCACATTTTCAACCCTTCATTGCATATGATCAAACAAATTAAGTTTATTTTTAGTCACATTATATTCAATAGATGTCACTCTTTAACCTTTTTTTTTTTCTACTATAAACAATTCTTAAACTTATCCTTCTAATTGTATCACACATTCATCATAACATTCCTTATTTCTATCATATTAACATACAAATCAATTATTTTTTACAGCCCAGCATTCAGATTCATACAACACCATTAATATACTTATAGTTTCATAAAATTTATCTTTAAACTTCTATAATAATCATTAATCATCCTATTTAATTTTACAAATTAAATCATATAAATCCTCATTCTACTATATAAAATATCTTAGTTATAGAGTCTATAAATTCGTTTGTGAAAGTTTTCTTATTATTTTTTAAAGCAGTTTTCTAGCTTAAAATTTTCAAGTTAAAAAAAAAATTTATACTAAGAAGCCGTTTTATAAAACAGTAAGAAATTTGTCCTAAACCAAACCTTACATTACAATTTGTGCCAATTCTCAATCTTGAGTAGGATGATTAAAAAATTTGAGGTATTTAAAAAATCTACTCTTTTGAGGTTTTCTAGCCTAAGAGCCACTTTGAGGAATTTGAAAAAATTAAGTTACATAAAATCAATTTTCTAAGAGAGTTAAGATCGATTTAGGACAATTTCTTTATTTTTTTATTGATAATAAAAATTATTAATAAAAAATAATATTGATTTGAATGATAGTTTTTACACTTTTCACTTTTTAAAATTATTTTAAAAAAATATATTTTTAAAACAATGATAGAATAACAAGTTTAAAAAATAAAAATAGAAAACTCTAAGCTGCCCCAAATGAAGCCTATGGGTTTGTTTATTAGTTAGGATAATTTTCTTGTTGATTTATTTTTTAGATCACAGTCGCATTTTTTATTTGGCTATTGCTGTTTTTTACAGCAACTTCTAAAAAAATTATTTTACCCATAACAATTTTACAATCAACTTTATAAAAAATTCCAATCAGTCATACAGTTTCTTAGGCTTTGCTTGTGATATCTTAAGCTTTTCTATTTTTACATTGCATTGTAAAGCTCATTTCTCAGCCACAATTTCAAAAATACATTTTCATACGTAACCTCTTAAAGACAAAAAAATTTAAAAAACTATTTTACGTACACATTATTTTTTACTACAAAAATAGCAAAAAAAAAAGCTATTCCAAATAAAACTTAAATGATATATATATATTTGCATTATATCTCCTTTTCCAAATTTAATTCTTCTTTATATCGAGAGACAAAAAGATGTGTCAGGTTTGAGTCGAGTTCATCTCCATAGGTCGAACCTAAACTACCTAATGAGAGCCATCTTCATCTTTCATAAAAATCCTAATTCTTGCATAAAAATTAACTTCATGCTTAAGTTAATAGAATTTTTTTAAAAAGAAGATTATTAGTAACATATATCTGCCTTATTACTAATGCATCTCCCTTCTTAGTTCGCCCAAATCATATAAGCTGATTTTACCCACTTTTTTACAACTTATCAGATGTAAATATTATATCTGAAAACATAAGTAAAATGCCTTCAACGAAGAAAAATCATCACCGCAAGAACAAACAGTCTGCTACGTAGTACAAAGAAATAGCTTTCTAACGGTAACTTTCCAATGTTCTTTATCAATTTGGAAGATAATCTAAACTAATTGAGCTTTAGCATTACATATCATTTACTCTTCCCTTATTTTACTTACTATAAGACTTTTAGGCTTAGTTTAGGATTTTTTTTACTGCTTTTTAAAACAACTTTTTACTACAACAATTTTAATTTTTTACTAGAAAACTGCTTTAAAAAGCAGTAAGAAAGCCATACCAAACCAAGCCTTATGCTTCATTTGGAATGGCTTTTTTACTGATTCGAGTGCAAAAAATTTAACTTTTGTATTAAAAATATGTCTTAAGAAACAGTAAGAAAACTGTCCCAAACGAAGCCTTAATCTGCTGAACATTTCTTAATCATGTTAAACTTTAAAGTTTACCTTCCTGCTTTTCTGCTGAAGCATGTCCAAGCTGCAAATATGGCACTGAAACAAGAAACAATTTTCATTTTGCAATTTCAGAATTCAAACTCTTAACGATCCAATGAACACAATCAGTACTTTCTGCTAATTTCTGTTCTAATTCACTTGGAACAACAAAGAGATACAGAAGTATATTGAAGTCAACAAAGACATTACAGGTTATAATATCCATGTTAGGAGCCAACAAAGCTGATTGATCATGTTCCTTTAGCATTACGGGTTAAATACCTTGAGATCATATTATAATAAACCTGGACTTACTGTAATACAACTCCATCAGTCTCTCCACCTATGGCCACAGCTTGGATTGCAACAGGCAAAGAACAATGCCATTCCTTCTTCCCCCTCTGGGGTAGCCTGCAAAGTCATCAGATATAATATTTATATGTGAATAGTTAATCATGTGAGGATATTAAAACAAGAATAATTAAGTTCATAAAGTAGCAGGGTGGGAACAAGTTGGGATGTGCATCAAGTACCATATTGTTATTGCTTGAGTATATGCAGAGTGAGCAAGTGAGAGTTTTCTATGCTGTAGATGTTCTTCCTACTAAAGTAATCTATTTCACATAGTTTGGAAATTGTTAGACCGGTACATTGGACCGGTCTAGCTAGTTCATACAAAACCGGCTCACGCATAACAGAGGCGGAACTCCTCCGTCTCTTACGAGCCACACAAACCGCCTCCTCCAAAAGAGTAGATTAGGAAGGTTTTATGAGAAGTTTAGGAGGGAAATTTGAATGTCGGGACTGTTTAGAGATTTTCTTTTGGATTGTATGCATTAAATAGTTTGTTTTCCTAGGGTTAGGGCATATGGAATTTGGCTGAAATTTGAGATCTCTTAGGTCTTTGGGCTCTAGCGGCGTCTGGAGATTTGGGAGAGCTGGATCTTCCTCTCCAATTGAAGATACACTTGTATCTTATCTTTTCTTTCATAAAACTTCAGCTAATATTTTTGCACTTCTATCAGAAAACTAATTGTTATGTTTCTTTTCAGTTTATTGAAATAGTGAATGGTTTATTAAGTGGAGAAGGAACATTCCCATTAATAGAAATGAGTTTGCTTCTTAATTTACCCTCAATATTGTTACCCTTGGTAGTGAAGGAACTTGACTAGATTTTGAAGACAGCCATGAGCAGGAACGATAACAGGGAGAAGGAAGACGATTCAAGAAGAAGAGAAAGTAAATCTTATTCAATCCATAAAACAGGTACAGTGATGGCAATATATAGATAGATGTACAGGTATTGTTGTAAATAAGTAACGGTTACATTAATGAACTAATATATGCTAATATCCCCCCGCAAATTAATCATTCTGATTTTGAATGGTTAATTTGGATCTGAGTTCTAGGAACCGAGCGGTGTTGAATGACTTTGTTAGTATGTCGGCAACTTGATCCTTGGATGAAATGTGCTGGAGGAGAATGTTGCCGGTATGAATATGTTGACGGATAAATTGATAGTCAATTTCTATGTGTTTTGTACGAGCATGAAAAACAGGATTCTTTGCAAGGGCGATGGCGGAGATATTGTCGCAGTGAATCGTAGTGGGTGACTGTTGGTCGGTGTGGAGCTCGGAGACCAGCCGTCTAAGCCAAACGACGTCCGAGGTTGCTGCAGCTAATGAGCGATACTCAGCTTCGGTGGAGGATTTGGCGACGGTTGGTTGTTTCTTTACGGACCAAGAGACAAGATTGGGCCCGAGAAAAGAGCAGAAGCCGGTGGTTGATTTTCTGTCCATGTGATCCGATGCCCAGTCGGCATCTGTATAGGTGTGTAAGTGGAGTTCGCCGGTCTTGATTGGAAGGCCAAAAGAAATTGTGCCTTTGATATAGCGAAGCACCCTTGTTAAATTTTCGTAGTCTTGTATGGTAGGATGCTGCATGTGTTGACATACTTTATTTGTGGCGAAAGCTATGTCCGGTCTGGTGATTGTGAGGTATTGGAGAGAACCTGCGAGACGGCGATAGAGCGAAGGATTGTTGAACAGTTGGCTGTTGTCCGAATGCGCTTTGAGGGTCGGAGTGCTTGGTGTTGAGGCCGGTTTACAGTCCAGGAAGCCCGCGTCCTTGAGCATTTTCGCTGCATAGTGAGCTTGGGATAGGAAATAGCCTTGAGCGTTTTGATGAATGTGAATGCCCAGGAACAGAGAAATCTGTCCCATTTGCTTTAGTGCAAAGGCCGAATGAAGATCACAGAGAAGTTCTTGTATGGCTTTTTGGTCATTTCCTGTCACAAGAAGGTCATCAACATAGATTAGAAAGAAGATGCGTGTAGTATTTTTGGATAGAAGTAAGAGAGAGGGGTCGGAGCGACTAAACCGAAATCCTTTTGATTTGAGAAAATCCGTTAGTTTTTGGAACCATTGACGAGGCGCTTGTTTGAGGCCGTAAAGAGACTTGTGTAGTTTGCAAACCGAGGTTGGAGCTGCGGGATCGAGGAATCCAGGAGGCTGGCGCATGTATATATCTTCAGGAAGGTCACCGTGTAAGAAAGCATTAGAAACGTCGAGTTGTAGGACAGGCCATTTCCGATTGAGTGCGACGGTGAGAAGTATCCGAATTGTTGTCATCTTGGCGACAGGGCTGAAGGTTTCATCATAGTTTTCACCATGCTTTTGATTGTATCCCAGAGCCACAAGTCGAGCTTTGTAACGGTCAATTTGACCGTTAGGTAAGAGCTTAGTACGGTATGTCCATTTGCATCCGAGTATGGTTGTGTTCGGTGGTGCTGGAACGAGAGTCCAAGTCTTTTGCTGTTGGAGAGCTTGGAATTCGGACTCCATTGCTTGTTGCCAATGTGGTATGTGACGTGCCTGATTGAAGTTGATTGGGGTATCATTGACTGGTTGTTTGCTGAGCAGGGAGTAGATCGGGTTGGGCTTATAGATTCCCGATTTGGATCTCGTCTGCATAGGGTGGTTCGGCAGAGTCTGATTGTTGGTAACAGAGAGCGGGGTTGGTTCAGGTATAAGAGGTTGAGGTGCGAAGGTTTCAGATTGCGGAATATTGTTGGTGGGATTTGTTAGATGGGGTGTATGGTGGTGGATCATAGTTGAGGTGGGAACTAGTAGAAGCGGAGAGGTTTCTTGAACAGCAGTAGTAGTAGTAGGTGTGGAATTAGTATTGTAAGGGAAAATAGATTCAACAAAGACCACATGACGCGATATATGAATTTTGTTGGTTTGAAGGTTGAAGCATCTGTAACCTTTGTGGTGAGGAGAATAGCCAATGAAAATACAATCCTGCGATCGAGGAGCAAGTTTGTTGTCGGCGTATGGTTTTAGCCATGGATAGCATAAACACCCGAATACGCGGAGATGATCGTAGGAAGGTTGTTTGTGGTAAAGGAGTTGATAGGGGGAGGTGTGACTGTTGGATTTGTTGGGTAAGCGATTTATAAGATGAATGGCGGTAGAGACAGCATCTGCCCAAAATTGATTTGGTAAGTTGGCGGCATGAAGTAAAGTCCTGGTTAGATCGAGAACATGACGATGTTTGCGTTCTGCCAGACCATTCTGTTCCGGTGTATACGGGCAGCTAATACGTTGGTGAATACCTTGAGTATGGAGAAAATTTTTGAAGTTAGTACTAGTGAATTCACCGCCCCCATCAGATTGTAAAATCTTGGGGATTTTGTTAAACTGAGTATACACTAATTTGCATAAATGTTGAAAATGCGAAAATGTTTCTTGCTTAGTATGCATGAAGTAGATCCACGAAAATCTTGTACAATCATCGGTAAAGATTACATAATAGCGAAAACCCGATAGGGAAGGAATCGGGGACGGTCCCCATACGTCCGAGTGAATGAGATCAAACGGCATGTGGGTTACCGAGGTTCTAGTTTTAAATTTGAGCTTGTGACTCTTTGAAATATTACAAGATTTGCAGAAAAAACTATTAGAGACGGTAAAAGGAGGTGAAAAAGTTTGTGCTAGGCGTTGTAGTATTTGAATGTGTGGATGCCCGAGTCGGTCGTGCCAAGTCGTCAGAGAGTTCTTGACGGTTTGAAGAGCAACGGGAGCTGTGTTTGGCGGCGTTTGAACATAGTATAAACCATTACGAAGATGGCCACGTAGAAGTAACCGATTGTCCTGAGAATCCTTCATTTCAAAGCCATTAGCATTAAACAAAATTGAAATAGAATTGTCTTTGGTCAGCCTAGAAACAGAGATGAGATTGTGAGTTAAGGAAGGGACATGAAGAAGATTATTTAAATGTAGCTTACGCGTGGAGTCAGGTAAGGGTAGTAATCCTTGCCCGGTGTGTTGGATTGGTGCGGAAGAACCGTTAGCAACGGATATTGAGTCCGAGCCATTGTATACCGTTTGCTGATGTAAGTTTGCATTGTCCGGCGTGAGGTGAGTGGTAGCCCCGGTATCCAGAATCCAATCTTGAGTTGGGTAGGAGGTCGGTTGAGCGAGCATAGCACGAGGTTGATATGAAATCGTAGGCGCGAACTTAAAATTGCATCGGTGCCAGCAATTTATCGCTATATGACCTGTTTTCCCGCAGATTTGGCAGATGGATTTAGTTGAAGACGAAGGCTGCGTTTGGGGCTGGGTCGGTAGAGTTGAGGTCTGATAGTTGCTGACAGTCTTGTTCTTGATGTACCGTTTTTGCTGCTTGCCCCGAGTGAAGTTGTTGTTGTTGTTGGAGTAGAGTGCCATTTGATCAGTGGTGAGTTCACGTTGTTGTTCTTGATTAACGTGAATCTCCTCACTGCAGAGGAGCGAGTACAGGGAGTCGAGATCAGCGGGCAGAGGAGATGTGCGAATGTAAGTCTTGAAAGAGTTGTAGGATTGAGGTAGCCCATTTAGGATGTAATGAACTATATCTTCTGGATCAAGTTTTGAGCCGGAAGCGGCAATATTATCGACGATGTTCTTGATCTGCGTAAGATATTGCTGCATAGAGAGATTCTTGAGTTGAATATGGTGAAGTTCGTTCTTGAGTTGAAGAACTCGAGAACGATTGGTCGGTTGAAGACGTCTTTCAAGGGTTGTCCAGACTTCTTGGGCGGTTGTGGCGGTGATGACGTAGGGGAGGATGGAGGGTGTAATAGTTGCGAAGAGTGCCGACATTAAGTTGCTGTCCACCAGTTGCCAGGTTTCGTATTCCGGCGAAGTGACATCGGTCGGAGGAGGAGAAGCGCCGGTAAGGTGTCCGGAATATTTGTTGGCTGTTACCTGTTGAAGAACTTGAATACGCCAGATTGCATAATTTTCGATCGTAAGGGGGTGGGGAATGAGGTTCTTGATATTGGAAATAAGAAATTTTAGAGGAGCCGGAATGGTCATCTCTGTGGAGGTAGTGCCGGGCAAAAGAGAGGAGGGAGGGTGGGAGGAAGAGTGGGTGTCTTGATCTCCCATCTGGGCGCTGATACCATGAAGGAACTTGACTAGATTTTGAAGACAGCCATGAGCAGGAACGATAACAGGGAGAAGGAAGACGATTCAAGAAGAAGAGAAAGTAAATCTTATTCAATCCATAAAACAGGTACAGTGATGGCAATATATAGATAGATGTACAGGTATTGTTGTAAATAAGTAACGGTTACATTAATGAACTAATATATGCTAATAGGTAGCAATATGCATATGTTTAGATGGCGAAGGATGGTAACTTTACTGTCAAAAGCTATTATCCAATAGTTTTGCGATAAATCCTATTGTATTTTTCTTGTATATAATGAATGTAAATTTACTTCACGTAATCAAATCTGGATATCTATGGCAACCCTTAAAAAATTTTTGGTCTCTTTTAACTCACCATTGACAGGAGTGTTACTAACACTATATGCTAGTAGAATTCCTTCTTTCTTCTCTATATGAAGGAATAAGAATTTCAATTGAAGATTTATTACTCTTTGGAATGCATTTACTGCTACTGCGTTTGGGAGGTTTGGGTTGCAAGAAATAATGAATACTTGCACTAATAAGAAAATAAATGGTGTGTTCTTTGGCTTAACATCATATAGTTAGTTTATATACAGACATGCTATTCTACTGGAAAAATAACGACAAAGATCTGAAAAACTATGGAGGCCATAGAATGCAGGAGGAAATGAAGAGTTTCAGCATGAACAGTTAACGATGCTTGCACTGCTGAACTTTTAAAGATTAATTCTCTTTATATTAGCATTTTGTGGAGTTTCTAATAGTTCTTAAAATATTTTGATAAAAACATTTTGGCGTTCTGCTACTAAAAGACTATACATTCTTTTAATATTGTTTTTATCTTTAATGAGAAAGATTTAAATGATAACTACTATCCTTTAAAAAAAGAAGAGACAATGACATTTGGCCTCTGAGAAACCTGAAAATCTATGGAAACCTCTTGTGGCATGCCAAGGATGAGTGTAAGTTGTGTGGAGTCTTTGGGGAGGCATCCTCATCATTATTAATACTACTACTACAACAACAACAAGCCTTAATCCCACTATGTGGGGTCAGCTACATGAATCCTTTTTCTCCATTGTGCCCTTTTAAAAGTTAAATTCTCATTTAAATCTAATAAAGAAAGGTCATTTCTAATATTTTCTAACCAAGTTTTTTTAAGTCTACCTCTGCCCTTTTTAACATAAATAAAATCTAATACATCTACTTTCCTAATTGAGTCATCGGAAGGTTGTTGTTCTAGGTGACCAAACATCTAAGGCAACTCTCTCTAATCTTATCTTACACTAGAGCTACTCCAACTTTTCAAGTATATGCTCATTTCGAATCCTATCTCTAAGAGTGAAGCCACTCATCCACCAAAGCATCCTCATCTCTGCAACACTTAATTAATATTATGCTTCTCTTTTAATGGCCAACATTTTGCACCATAAAGCATTGCAGGTCTAACCACCATCTTATAAAATTTTTTCTTAAGTTTGACGGGAACTTTTCTATCACACAACAAGCCGGATGCATTCCTCCACTTCAACCATCCAACTTGAATTCTACTAATAATATCCCCATATATTTCACCATCACTTTGAACAATAGATGCAAGTTATCTAAAACGTGCACTCTTGTTAATAACTTGATCGCCCAAAGTTACAATCCCCCCACTAGAACTATTATTACTAAAATTGCATTCCATATATTCAGTTTTAGATCTACTCAAACAAAAGCCTTTAGATCATTCATCATCATTAATGTTATCCCAAATTTTAGGGCCAATTTTATAAATCATTCATCTCCATACAACCCCAATGAGTGCTGCATGAGGTGTTATCCCAAGCATTTGGATGTCAAAGTATACAACAACATCAAGCATTTATCCCACTACGTGGGGTCGGCCACATGAATCTTTTTCCTCCATTGTGTTCTATTAAAAGTTAAATTCTCGTTTAAATCTAATAAAGAAATATCATTTCTAATATTTTCTAAACAAGTCTTTTTAGGTCTGCCTCTACCTTTCTTAGCAAAAGTCAAATCTGCCTCTACTTTCCTAATCGGGTCATCGGAAGGCCGTCGTTTTATGTGACCAAATCATCTAATGCGACTCTCTCTAATCTTATTTTCTACTAGAGCTACTACAACATTTTCACGTATATGCTCATTTCATATCCTATCTCTAAGGGTAAAGACACTCATCCACCTGAGCATCCTCATCTCTGCCACACTTAACTTAGTATTATGCTTCTCTTTTAATGGCCAACATTCGATACCATACAGCATTGTAGGCTGCACCACCATCTTATAGAATTTTCTCTTAAGTTTGAGGGGTACTTTTTTATAACACAACAAGCCCGATGCATTCCTCCACTTCAACCATCCAACTTGAATTCTGCTGATAATATCCTCATCTATTTCACCATCACTCTAAACAATAGATCCAAGATATCTAAAACGTGTACTCTTATTAATGACTTGATCGCTCAAAGTCACAATCCCCTCACTAGGTCTATTACTATTAAAATTACACTCCATATATTTCGTTTTAGATCTACTCAAGCGAAAACCTTTAGACTCTAAGGTTGACCTCCATAATTCAAGTTTACCTTCAACTCTCTCTATAGTCTTATCAACAAGAAGAACATCATCGGCAAAAAGCATACAACAAGGTGCATCATCTTGCAAATGTCTACTGAGAACATCCATGACTAAAGCAAAAATATATGGGCTTAAGGTTGATCCTTGATGTAACCCAACTGAAATAGGGAAATACTTGGTCAAACCACCTTGTGTTTGAACACAAGTAATAGCTTCTGCATACATATCTTTAATGATTTGAATATAAGCGTTATCAACTCCTTTCTTTTCAAGAACTCTCCATAGCACTTATCTTGGAACTTTATCATATGCTTTTTCTAAATCAATAAATATCATATGTAGATCCTCTTTATTTTCTCTATATTTCTCCATCAAACCTCTTCATAAATGTATGGCTTCCATAGTCGACCTACCGGCATGAATCCAAATTGAATTTGAGAAATATTAGTATCACGCCGCAACGTATGCTCCATAACTTGCTCCCATAGTTTAAAAGTATGACACATTAACTTAATTCCTCTATAATTCGCACAATCTTATGCATCACCTTTATTCTTAAAAATAGGAATTAACACTCATTCTCCACTCATCTGGCATCTTTTTAGTTTCAAAACAGTATTAAATAGTTTAGTAAGCCAAGAAATTCTTCATCTCCTAAGCATTTCTACACCTCTATTGGAATATCATCAAGTCCAACAGCTTTTCCACCCTTTATCTCCTAAGCATTTCCACACCTCTATTTGGATGCCAAAGTATATGGTAATAAAACCGGGCACATCAGCTAATTTCTACAATTGTCAGAAACTAGAAGAAGTTAATGAAGCATTTTGGTTCCAATGGGTGCGAAATAAAAAAACCAATTATCATCCTTGACTGATTCGCTTGCACAAAATATACAAAGAAGTAGGAACTGTTAAAAATTGGAATCCTAAACCAAGAAATCCTACGAAGGTAACTTTTGATCAATTTGAAGTGACCCGTAAAGTCTTTTAAACGAATCACAAAGGGCTAGAAGATCATTACCAGTGATTTGAATGAAGATGCACGTGTCTATATTTTAGAATAGAGTTTTTCATTTTATCAACTATAGTTTTCATACTGAGGAAAAAAACTTATTATTTTTAGATTGACAATACATCACAGCACTTCCAAAACGAGTTCTAGATAATTTTTCTAAATTTTCCTTCACTTTTATTCCCATAGGACAAGGTGAGCTATTGCATTCCTGGTTGTCATGACAGAACAAAATAAGTTCAATAAGACATGCCGACAACACAAGATGCGACCAGACAAACATGGAGAATAAAGAACGCATTATAACCACAAGAAATACAGCACTAATAAATGAGAAAATTGATGGCATCACATGGATGGAGAGCTGTCACTATAAAGAGAAAACATCAACCTTGAAAAAAACCGCTTCCGGATGATTGCACACAGAACATCGAACAGATTTTGTACGAGGAAGAGTAGGATCAACAGCTACATCTTGTAGAATTTGGCTGCGCTTACCATTTGAATGAGTGATCTCACATTTATAGACACAATTGTCATCAGCCTCCTCCTAAGAGAAGATATTCTTCCAGAAATCAGTGAATTTATAATGCAAGCCAGACAAGTATACCGTATTCTAGCATTCAATCATAACAAGAGAATTTTCAATTCAGACTTGCAAAATAAGTGGCCCATTTGCATGAATAACTTGTAGATAAGTTCTTGAAGAAGAGAATATAACTTCCATAAACTTCCTTGGTGTTGGTGTAAAAATACTGCTCATGATATAAGCAAGACTATGCCCTAAGCCTAGAGAAAATTAGAATGATTGTATTCTGCTTTCATAAACTTAATGTCCAAAAAATAGACTAAAAGATAAAAATAGAAGTCACGTTTATAGAAATATGCAATTTGTGAGAAGAGGAGCTGAGCCGCAGATAGAGACGAGAAAGGTAAAAGATAGATTTGTAAAGAAGAGAAAATGTATCTTATTATCTGAGTGAAGAGTATCAGTTACAAGGTATATATATGTGTGTAAGGAAATGAAGCCGACGTGAGTACATATGTGGGACAAAATACGATGTGTGTATTATGTTTACATCCACCCTCAAATTATGCATTCGGTGGGCGAATGGACAATTTGGAGCAGAGAATTTCAAACCGTGAGCTAGAGAACGGTTTTGTTAAAATAACGGCAACTTGGTCTTGAGATGAAATGTGTTGAATGCTTATACTGCCGTTGGCGATTTGTTGCCGAATAAAATAAAAGTCGATCTCTATATGCTTCGTACGAGCATGAAACACTTGATTTTTGGCAATAGCTATGGCGGAGAGGTTGTCACAGTAGATGGTGGTCCGAGAAGGTTGATGTAGTTGTAACTCATCCGCGAGGCGCCGAATCCAAAGCACGTCGGAAGTGGCAGCTAACAACGCTCGGTATTCTGCCTCGGTTGAGGATTTGGCTACTGTTGCTTGTTTCTTGACGGACCACGAAATGAGGTTCGGTCCCATAAAGGTGCAGAACCCTGAGATAGACTTACGGTCGGTGGAATCGGAGGCCCAATCGGCGTCTGTGAAGGTGCTCAGATTTGTGTCTCCGGCCAGAATCGGAAGACCGTATGTTACGGTCCCCTTGATGTATCGGAGAATGCGTTTCATATGTTGAAAGTCACTCTCGGTTGGTAGTTGCATGTGTTGGCACACTTGATTTGTTGCAAACGCGATATCTGGTCTTGTGATGGAAAGATATTATAGGGATCCCGCAAGACGACGATAGAGAGTGGCGTCGTGAAATGGTGTTGTGTTGTCCATCTGATGCTTTGAGGCCGGCGTTATTGGGGTGGGGGCTGGTTTGCAGTTGGATAGACCCGCCTCTTGAAGAAGCTTTTGTGCATAATGTCCCTGGTTAAGAAAGAACCCATTATTAGTGCGGGTCACTTGTATTCCTAAAAATAGAGAAATTTGTCCCAGTTGTTTTAAGGCGAATTGAAAGTGGAGATCCTGAAGTAATTGTTGAATCTGTGATTGATCGTTTCCTGTTACAAGGATATCATCAACATAGATCAATAGATAGATTTGTACTTGTAGTTTTGTGTAGATTAGGAGTGAAGGATCGGAACGACTAAACCTAAAACCACGAGATTGGAGGGTTGTTGTGAGTTTCTGAAACCATTGGTGCGGAGCCTGTTTGAGGCCGTAGAGGGATTTATGGAGACGGCAGACAGCATCCGGTTGTTGGGGGTCCTCGAAGCCAGTAGGTTGACGCATATAGATCTCCTCCGTAAGGTCGCCGTGAAGAAATGCATTTGAGACATCGAGCTGAAGCATTGTCCAATTTCTGTTAATGGCCAACGTAAGAAGTAGACGGATGGTTACCATCTTTGCGACGGGGCTAAATGTCTCGCTGTAGTTTTGTCTGAAAGTTTGAGCATAACCGAGCGCAACAAGGCGAGCCTTGTAACGGTCAATTTGTCCGTTCGGGAGATGTTTGATCTTGTATGTCCATTTGTTTCCTATGATGGGTTTGTCAGTGGGTGCCCGGACGAGAGACCATGTCCCTTGTTTGATAAGTGCCTGATATTCGGAGTTCATAGCGCTGCGCCAGATTTCATGTTGAAAGGCTTGCTCGTAAGTTGTTGGTGTGCTTTGTGGTTCGGTATGACTAAGCAGAGATATGATCTATTTTTGTTTCATGATGCCGGACTTTGAACGAGTTTGCATATGGTGTGTAGATGGTACTGATGGAGGAATGAGTACTGGAGTAGTAGTGGTCTGTAGCGTTGGATGAGGTTGGGCAGTGGCAGTAGGGATGGTAGATGCGGTTGTATTTGTAGAGACTGATGTATTCTTGATCCTGGATGTGGTGGTTGTCGTTGAAGCTGGTACTAGAAGGAGCGGCGGAATGCTGTGAAGGGAGGTCTAACTGTTGTCCGAGGTAGGAGGAATGTTGCTATGGAAGGGAAATATGTGTTCTTGAAATTGTGCATGCCTTGATATGTAAACCTTGTCAGTGGTAAGGTTGTAACATTTGTACCCCTTATGGCTGGGAGAGTATCCCAGAAATAAGCAGGGAAGAGGCCGTGGTTCAGATTTGTTGTTTGTATATGGTTGAAGCCACGGGTAGCAGAGGCAGTCGAACGTTCTTAGGTGGGAGTAGTCTGGTTTGGTGTTGAACAGCATTTGGTAGGGGGAGCGAAGAGCCAGTGGTTTGGACGGTAGCCGGTTGATGAGGTAGTTGGCAGTGGATATTGCATCTAGCCAGAATTTGTCCGACAGATTGGATGCATGTAACAGCGTGCGGGTTAGATCAAGTAGATGCCTGTGTTTGCGTTCCGCTAGATCGTTCTGTTCGGGTGTGTAAGGGCAGCTCATCTGGTGAATTATGCCGTGGCTGTGAAGTAGTGAGCTGAAGGCTGCGCTCGTGAATTCGCCTCCACCATCGGAGCGAAAGAGCTTTGGTGTACTGGCGAATTGATTTTGTATAAGACTGATAAAATTTTTCAGGCAGTTAATTGTTTGATTTTTGGAGTTCATAAAATATACCCAGTTGAAACGCGTAAAGTCATCAATAAACACGACATAATAGCGAAAATTAGTAAAACCAGATTGAGGAATCGGTCCCCATACATCGGAATGTACGAGTTCGAAAGGTTTAGAAGTTTCAGATTTACTGTTATTGAATTTTAATTTGTGGCTTTTGCCCATGCGACAGGAGGTACAGTGAAAATCAGAAGAAATATTTTGCATATTAGTAATACATGGAGCAAGAACATTGAAAATCTGGTTATTTGGATGTCCTAATCGGGCATGCCAGATAGATTGAGAGGTGACAGTGGCTTGTAGCGCCTGAGAGCTTTGGTCTGGAGCCATCCGAATTTGGTAGACTCCATTAAGCAGACGACCACGAAGCAGTAGTTGGTGATCCTGTAAGTCCTTAACCTCAAATCCGTTAGAATCGAATGTGATAGAAACAGAATTATCTTGAGTTAATTTGGAAATAGATAACATATTATGAGTGAGGGTGGGAACATGAAGAAGATGACATAGGTGTAGCTTGCGCGGGGTGTTTGGAAGAGGTAGCAAACCTTGACCATAGTTGTGAATTGGCATGGCAGATCCGTTTGCTGTCGAAACAGAGTCTGGCCCTTGATAAGTCGTTGGGTTTTGTATAGCATTGCCGTCCGTAGTCATGTGTGCGGTTGCACCGGAGTCCAAGATCCATGTCTGAGAGGTGTCTTGAGAGGGTTGAGCGAAGTGTGCATGGGGGGCAGTAGGATTGGTTGGTGCGTAGTTCATGTTGCACCGATGCCAACAGTTGATCGCTATGTGTCCGATCTTGTTGCATATTTGGCAGATCGGGCGAACACCAGATTGAGGGTTCTGACCGGAAGCTGGAGTGATGGATTGATCTGATGCGGAATTTGGCCGAGGTGCATTGTTACGATACCGGGAGTTGTGTTTGGAATTCTTGGATCTGTTCTGATTGGAGTTTGCGGCATAGCAAACGGCATTGGTTTGAGATGATTCTTTCTTGAGTTTTTGATTAATGTGTAGTTCTTCACTACATAGAAGCGAGTATAGCGAATCAAGATCGGCAGGTATGGATGAAGAACGAATGTATGTTTTGAGGGAATTGTAGCTCGCTGGTAAGCCGTTTAGTATATACAGCACTATGTCCTCCGGATCTATTTTGGTTCCTGAGGCAGCGATTGTGTTTACGATGTTCTTGACGTTTGCCAAATATTGTTGCATCGTGAGGGATTGCATTTGGATATGATGCAACTCATTCTTGAGTTGAATTATGCGTGAGCGGCTTGACGCCTGAAGACGACGTTCAAGAACTTGCCAGACTTCGTGGACGGTTGTGGCGGTGATCACGTACGGTAGGATCGTCGAAGATATAGTGAAGAAAAGCGCAGACATGAGGTTGCTGTCTACCAGTCTCCACCGAGCGTACTCGGCCGAGTTGGCCTCCGGCGGTGGTTCGATGCTTTCTGTGAGGTAATCATCATACCCATTGGCAGTAAGGTGTTGGAAGATCTGAGTTCTCCATAGAGCGTAATTCTCGACGGTGAGAGTGTAGGAGATCAGGTTCTTGATATTGGAGAGAATGAATTTGAGAGTTGGCGGGATGGTGAGTTCCGGCGTGACGGAGAGGGTGGTGGTGGAATCGGGGGGATGGTAGAGGTGGAATCTTGATCCCCCATCCTAGCAGTCTGATAACATGTGAGAAGAGGAGCTGAGCCGCAGATAGAGACGAGAAAGGGAAAAGATAGATTTGTAAAGAAGAGAAAATGTATCTTATTATCTGAGTGAAGAGTATCAGTTACAAGGTATATATATGTGTGTAAGGAAATGAAGCTGACGTGAGTACATATGTGCGACAAAATATGATGTGTGTATTATGTTTACACAATTAACCCTACATATGAAGAATTTATATAGATTCATCATGCATAGTAATCATTCTATAATCATCTAGATAAAATTTCTGTACTTGTATTATAACACGTAAATAGAGAGAATTTGTTACAGCATTACTTCAAAATCATTAGGTCCTCAGACTCCCTGGCTAAGTTACACCATATCTTTAGATGCTGAAATGTGGCAATAAGGGTAGCTGAGGCAATGGCTATTTTAAGGTAGATATAATGATCGAACAATACAGCCATCATCGTTAGCCGAATCCATGTTTATATATTTTCATTCTCTTTTTGTTCCTAATAAGTGTTACATGAGATGTTAAAACTATTCTGCACAAAATCTTTAGAGTACTCATTCTACATGTCTAAATCATCTTAGTCTATTGTTAATCCATTGTGATTCCCTCTTCTGCTTTTACGGCCGTATCTTCTATGAATCAAAAGATGTTTATTACAAATCCTTTCAATCAAAACTACTTCTGTTGAGATCTCTTCCAATCTTGTCATTGAGAGAAATGCAGAAGCTCCAATTGATGTTCCTCTTATTATAATTGATGGTTCTAAGAAATCAAAGAAGAGAGGAGTAGCATCTCCTCTTTTCAAGTTGACTAGTGCCAAAGCCAAATCTTTGGGCATCTATTTTGATGAATTGTAAACATTTAATGGTTACAAGATTTTCTCAACATATTTATTGGTTTCTTATGATGGGTTCATCCATTTGCTGGTGCATTCCTACTCAAATCAGCTAATGAATTCTTCAGTTGTTTGAGTACTAAGTTATAGTTTCCTCTCCTCCTGCTCCTCCTGGCAGTCTGATATAGTTTCCTACTGCCAGAAAAAAAAAAAGGATTTACCGAGTTATAAAACTTGCTCCTGATAGGTTTGATACTTTGTTATATAATGCACCATTTGGCTTCCTTTAAAGAAAGTTCAAGCTGCTGTAGGTATAGCTATAGAATCAACTTGTTGAAGCCCACTAAATCAAAAGAGGATAAATCATCCTCAAATGTAGGTCATACAGCTTATCCCTCTCAAATTATTTCAAATTACAAAATAATCATAAATCGGATCTACTACAATTAAAAAAACTCATCCAAGTTTCAAAACCCTTAAAAGGCTGAAGTTCAGGTTTCAATCACAACAAGGCAAGACCGCCTACATCAACAAAGTTGAAAACGAGGAGATCAAGCAAGAGAGACCAAGCCCACATCAACATAGTTGAAAAGAGGAGATCAAGCAAGAGGACAATAGAACCTGGTGGTCACAGTTACCGCAGACATAGAGCAGGACCTTGCGCTCTTTGTCTTCCTTAGGGTAGAGAATGTTATTGCTGAAAACACACATACAAAGCAGAAATGAAGATCAAAGAATCACAAAAATCCAAAAAATTATCTCACAAAGTAATTAAAAGCTGAAAGCTTTCTCACCATACACTACAGAACTTCAGGGTACTCATGGCTGCCCACGATTCGTTGTCGTCCTCGTCTCTGTATTCCGATGAACAATGGCTTCAGACTTCAGAATCTATAAAACCTCGAAGTTATAGCACCGAACAGACGGGCACATCAGACCACAGCGAGCCGAGCAGGGGCTGCAAACAGTCGCGAGCGCAGCAGGCACCCCTAGCTTGAACTTGGTTTTATTAAATTATGTTGAGTGAAAGAAGATAAACTAAGCTTTTAAATGAGATTAAGGCCTCATTTGAGACGACTTTCTCACTGTTTTTTTAAATAATTTTTTAGCACAAAATTTTTTATACTATAAAATTTAATACTAAAAAATTATTTTAAAAAGTAATAAAAAATTTATCCTAAATGTAATCAAAATTGTCTGATTGATTAAAAAAGAGTTGTTAAAAGCTTAGATAAGTAGAGAAAACTTCTTGTTTTGTGTTTTAGCTTAAACTTTTTTGCTTGTCCTATCAGTATTGTTATTTTATAATTGGACATTAATTATTCTCAAGAAATATAATTTAAATTTTAACTAAATAAACTTATATTAAGCTTATTTAATAGAAATGTGTATCAACTACTTGTTTAAAATTTATTTACGATAAATTCTATCTCCCACTTAATTAATAGGTGTTATAATTTGTTCGTCGCTCTCATTATATCTAGGAGCAAAATTTGTGACATATTAACATACCTTAGCAAGGATCAAGCTCAAGATTTAGCCTTAAACTAAATCTAGTTAATTTCTCTTAAATCTCATCACATACTTAATTTTGTACTCAAGGCTAAATTAATTGACATTTCAACTCAACGGAGATCAAGCCTAACCACCTAATTACTCTAAATTTTAGCATTAATTTGATTTGGTAATTAAAGCTCTAAATGTTTCCAATGAAAATAATCTCTTTTGATTAATTAAGCATGTTTCCATCCTTCCTTCTTTAAGACTCCAACTACTTTTTCATCTCCCTAAGAATATATTTCAAAACCTTCTTTAGAGCTTAAGAGTCAAAAGAGGGTGTTAAATGAGAGGATAACATGTTCCCTATGCCCATTAAGGTCTTACCATTCCCCCATTATAAGTAAGATATTTTCCATTTTAAGAACAAAAGATCATGAAAAAGATGCTATGAGTTTGTTAAATTGAGATGATAACGTCATAAATCCTACCCTATACCCCCCTTTTTTCCAATAATAAAGGTAATTGAGCTTAATTTTATAAGGCTACAAATGACTGCTTAAGTAGGTTGATAACTTTAATCTTAGTATGTGATACCATAAGAATGATTGACTTACACCACTAAGTTTATAATGCAATGTGTTTGTGCACCAACCAACTTAGTCTTATCATCTTCGATGGGGATATTAAGTTACCATCGAGTTCAGAAGCTTACATGTGATTTTGATAGGTTGTGCATAGCAGTGTCAAAATTGGGTTTCGGGTTGGGTTCGGGTCGAATCTGGAATTGATTCGGGTTCAAACAGGTGGACCCTAACCCGACCCGAGTAGGAAAACTTGTCAAAAATTCGAACCCGGAACCCGAATGCGGAAGGGTAGCCGGGTTGACCCGACCTGACAGGAAGGGGGGGGGGGGGGGGGGGGGGGGGGGGGGGGGGTGGGGGGGGGGGGGGGGGGGGGGGGGGGGTGGGGCGGGGGGGGGGGGGGGGGCGGGGGGGGGGCTGTGGGGGACTTGGTCACGAACGAGCGCGGGCGAGGTGCGTGGGCAGCCTTGGGCATGCGGCCGACTGCTGGTAGGAGTGGGTAGCTTCGGCGAGAGCGCGGGTAGCTGCGCGGGCAAGCTCAGGCAGGTCCATGGATAGCCGGGCATGCCGCAGCCAGGCTGGGGTAGGTCCGCGGGCAGCCAGGCAGTCATTTCAAACAAGTTTTCGGGTTGACCCGGCAACCCGTCGGGTCAACTCGAACCCGAAACAGGTCGAATCCGGGAACCTGAACCCAACCCGTTTTGGAAACGAATCGGGTCTAAACCCAAAATTTCTGGATCTGATTCGGATCAGATTTTCATGTCGTATCAAATATTGACACCTTTGGTTGTGCATACCTTAGTAAACTTTTATGGAATGGTTGAAAGTGTTGTGTTTGTTGAAAAAATATGAGAATAAGATGGGAAGGATGTCCTCCAAGCCCTCATCACCCTTGTCACACCTCAACCCCTGTAATAAAATGAACCACGCCATGCTAGAAAGTGGTTGATGGGTGAACTTTGATTGATTCATTCAATATTAACTTGTTCATATCATTTGTGAGAACTTGCCTCTAAAATCAGGATCAAATTGACCTTGATCTTTACATTTCATAACTCTTATTATAATAAAACACAAAGATATTAAATTAATAGATAATATATACAAATGATATTATAGTTGAAAGATTCTAAAGTTTACAATTTAAAATATTAAATGTATAACATATGGGTTAGTATTGTACAATTCCCCAAAAACATTTGTACCAGCTTAGATTAGCCTTTAAAGTCCACATGGATTTATTCTCGTCAATTAAATACTTATTATCATTTTCACCTGACAAATAGCATGACTAGCTAATAAATTTTTAATAAACTACTAGATAATATCACATAAAATTTATAACCTATATAATAAACTTTTTTTTTCTAAATTAAATCATAACCTATATAATAATTCATGACTAGCATTGACTCATTAGAGTTTACAACCATATAAATACATATAAAAAATTAGAAGAAAAAAAAAGAATCATTATGCCATATTCCATAATTACCATTTCAAAACTTCAGTCATAGACAATATATAATTATAGAAAATATTTACAAAGCATAGATCATGTTATAATATTGCATATATTATATTAAATAATGCTAGATAGTTTATGAAGCTCACAAATAACTATTTAAATCACTGATTCATGTCATTTACAAATGAAAAACAAAATGACATACATATGTAGGCAAGAACAATTTCATGATGTATCAAAAATTAAATTTATAGTATTATGCATCATTCATCTTAAAATGTTAGATAACGTACATCATTGAATAATATTCATTATATAAAAAGATATTGAATTCACATTTTACTAAATTGTTATCAACAGAATAGCCTTCTCTATAATCTAATAATTCAAAATCATTATCTTGTTCCATTTAGTGTGCTTCTAAGCCACATTAGTATAAAAAAATAAATAATCACATGTGACATTAGAGTTTTAACGTGGAAAATTTGGCAAGAGGAAAACCCATGGGGCCTTTTTGGTGTAGCACATCAATTGGATAAAAAATGTAGCTAAATGTCCAATAACAAGAACCTAATAAGAGCCTGAGAAGGTGCTTAAGCAAGAACCCGATCAAAGCCCATTATGAGAGTTAAATCATAAAAAAAATAATAATAATCTAGAGTTTTAATATTTTAAATTTATCATCTAGAATGTTTGACTTTTCTTAGGAACATGTATATCTTAATCATTTATGCAGATAAGATGAATTAATGAAAGTGGTTGTTATCTTCCTCCATCAATAGCCACCTACTCTAGTATGATTGGATAATTATCTTTGTACTCTTATTATTACTCATATTAATTTTCTTCTAAATCTTTTTTAGCATCTTATCATACATCCTATTAATCTTTCATGACCAATCATGCATAGCCCACATCTTAAAAAAGTTAACCCAACCCTTTTTAAAACCCTTGGCCTAGTTAAGGTTGTATTTTACCTAGTCATGTTCTCCATACCACCTTAGACCTTGAAACTCATAAAACTTTACCATCTACTCCACATCATAAGTTTGCATTCTAATCTCATATTTCACCATTATTTCCATCAATTTACCCTACTCAAAATCATTCCCAAAGGTGAACTTGCAAATTTGTTCAAACTAGCCAAAAGGACTGGCATTAGCATTTTTTGACCATACCTGCCCAAACCCCTCATCTTCATACCAAAAGGTTTAGATCACATTTTTTTTATTAATAAAATAAATATTCATAAGCATTTACAATAACTAATCTTACAAAAAGTGCCTCCCATATTGATCACTTACTCAACTTAAATAATTTCACTGTTTGAGCACTGGTTACAAAAATTGGCTCATCTCCTAAATCAAAGAAAGAAAAATCTTAAGAGTGTAATTGGCTAGTAGAAAAGTTTGTAAAGTTGGTAGGAGATGAGAAGCATTCATATGGTTGAGGCTAAGTGATGGTGGCCCAACATTGTTAGTTAGGTGATGACATTCAAATAATGAAGGTTAGATGGTGGTAATTAGGCGATGACAATGGTTGAAAAAAAAATAGTCCTATGAAAATGGTTGGATGATAGTGGTCAGATAGTAGCAGTCTGATAATTGTGGTCAGGCAATAGTGGTTTGATAATGGTAGTCAAACAGTGGTAGTCTGATGGCACTAGTTGAGCAGTGGCTAACCGATAGTTGAGCTTAGAAGATACTGATTTAATAGTAGTGGGCAATTACAATCTGGCGATCGTGGTATGATGGTGATGATTGGGTGGTGGTCTAATGGTAACGAATGAATGGTGGTTGTGTTGTAGTTTTGTAAATGTGATCATGCCGTGATCTAATGACTATGTTTGAGTGATGGTCTAATAGAATCAATCAGGTGGTGGTTTGATGGCAGTGATTGAGCGATGGTTCGATGGTAGTGGTCAAGTGATGGTCTGATAATGGTGTTCCAATGATGGTGGCCTAGCAGTGGTGCTTGGGTAGAGCTTCGAGATTCTTCAAACCTCTAAACTATCTTGAATCTCAAGCCAAGGGTACCACAATTAGATAGTTATTGATTTTGAGAGTGCCTTGTTTTTCAAATAAAGATAAAAATTGTAACGCTTCATTTCTTGTGTTAATTCCCTTGATCATGTATCATTCTTTTAAATTTTAAATTACTTAATAATTTTAGAATTAGGCAATCTTAAGCTCATTGGATTTATCTTGCTTGATTCGAATACAAGTATGCAAACTTTTGAAATCATTTGATCCAATTATTGTCCAAAATGTTTAATTATACTTAAAATGCTTAATTTAAGCTCATTTAGACTCAAATCGGATTACTTCTGGTGTCATTGAGTTCACTTCATCAAGTCAATCTGTTTGACTAAAAGTCTGCTGAAATCAAGATCCATGTCTAATCAAGCTGATTTTTCTATAATATATCAATATTTTAGAACAACTATATCAGTTTCCAAAATTGTTTAAATGGATTCTTATTTTTTAATTTAACTTCTCCATTTATTCTTCTTCAATTGCAAACTAAAAAAAAACTTACTTTGTCAGCAAAGCAAATATGAAATATTCCTTTTTTTTTTATAACTGAGTTTAACTTTTAATGTTTTTCTAAGTTGGAAAAACTTCTAATAAGCAGAAATGCAACAACTATATTGCTTTTCAAGTTTAGTTAAACTAATTTTCCCTATATAACTAAACCTTTCTTTGTATGTTCAGCATATTAACTACAAAGTCAAAATGAGAAATATTTTAATCACTTAATGTTGTTTTCCTTTCTGAATATATCCTACTGAAAATTTATTTACAAAACTTATTTCTCTTAGTTCTCTTTGCATCAAAACTAGAATTTTGAAAAACCTCTTATATTCAATGTTTCAAAGAAAAACTGAAAAAAAAAACAAAAAGAGGAAAAGATAAGAGAGATAGATGAATCCTTTCACTATTGATATCTGGGGCATCACACTTCAAACCTCTAAACTATCTTGAATCTGAAGCCAAGGGTACCACAATTAGATAGTTATTGATTTTGAGAGTGCCTTGTTTTTCAAATAAAGATAGAAATTGTAACACTTCATTTCTTGTATTAATTCCCTTGATCATATATCATTCTTTTAAATTTTAAATACTTAATAATTTTATAATTAAGCAATCTTAAGCTCATTGTATTTATCTTGCTTGATTCAAATACAAGTATGCAAACTTTTGAAATCAATTGGTCCAATTATTGTTCAAAATTTTTTAACTATACTTAAAATGCTTAATTTAAGCTCATTTAGACTCAAATCGGATTACTTCTGGTGTCATTGAGTTCACTTCATCAAGTCAATCTGTTTGACTAAAAGTCTGCTGAAATCAAGATCCATGTCTAATCAAGCTGATTTTTCTATAATATATCAATATTTTAGAACAACTATATCAGTTTCCAAAATTGTTTAAATGGATTCTTATTTTTTAATTTAACTTCTCCATTTATTCTTCTTCAATTGCAAACTAAAAAAAAACTTACTTTGTCAGCAAAGCAAATATGAAATATTCCTTTTTTTTTTATAACTGAGTTTAACTTTTAATGTTTTTCTAAGTTGGAAAAACTTCTAATAAGCAGAAATGCAACAACTATATTGCTTTTCAAGTTTAGTTAAACTAATTTTCCCTATATAACTAAACCTTTCTTTGTATGTTTTGTATGTTCAATATATTAACTACAAAGTCAAAATGAGAAATATTTTAATCACTTAATGCTGTTTTCCTTTTTGAATATATCCTACTGAAAATTTATTTACATAACTTATTTCTCTAAGTTCTCTTTGCATCAAAACTAGAATTTCGAAAAACCTCTTATATTCAATGTTTCAAAGAAAAAACATTTCTAGCTTAAAAATTTTTTTATTAAAAAACTGCTTTAGAAAGCAGTAAAAAATGAAGCCTTAATGCAAATGTAATGAAGACTTTCTTTTATGCACTTACGAAAGATGGGTATATAAGAGAGCGTCCACACTTAGAACTATAAACGAAATATGGGATAGAATTATTATATGAAGATATAAATGTAGATAGAGTTACACACATCAATATACTTGTACCTAGGGCCGTCAAAACAACGCGACGTTTTCAAACAACTCATTTTTTGCTAAATAGAAAGCTCGTGATTCGGTAGGTAAGAGAGTCGAACACAAGCACATATTTTAAAATTCAATTTTAAATGAGCTAAACACGAGCAGAAGCTATGTTCAGACCAGTCATGTTCGACTCATATAGGCTCAAAATAATTATATATATACACACACTTTTTATTTGTAATATAAGATATTACATTATTAAATGTCAAATTTTGAGCCTCATTGGTTATTGTAATCATAAAATTTCAGCAAGGAAGCTTTTTAGTTTTCATATCTTACTTTTTTATGAGTTATTGTAAAAAAATGTTGAAATTTAATATTTTTTAACCAAACTCGAGCTACATGATACAAATTCAAAACGTATCAAATATAAACATGTTATTCATGAATAATTTTGAATATGATTTTAACAAACAAATTTCCAAAATGATTTGAACACGAACTATTGTGGATTTTCTCTTATTTTTTTGATAAAAAATATTTTAGATGAGGTTGTGTCGAGGCTGTGGTTGGCCAAAGTTATAACCCTAGATTTGTTTGAGTGCTTGTGAGATGAGAAGGGGCGGAATAATGAAAGTGCTAGGAATAGAAAGTTAATTGTGATAATTTTATAATCTCGCAAAGGAATTATAAATTAATCATGTAGGTTTGAAGATCCTACGAAACAATATAGTTCGCCATAAATAGGAAATGAAGACCAACCCTCCATTATGTTTTCATGTAATCCTAACATTCTTCCCTTAATTGAACTTAGTATATTTGTTCGATGTTTGATCTTTGTGTTATATCATCTCTACCATATCTCAAAGAACTTTTCTTCATAGAGTTAAAATTATTGTAGTCTTCATAAGAACTATCTTGCTTGAATTAGTAGTGACTACGTAGGATTTTGTTGGTAGAGGCTTGTTGTACATGAACTCCTACAATGTTGATGACTTGAACACATTTATTATAGTTTATTATTATTGAAGGATTTATAGTAATGAAGGACATTGATAATCATTTGAAGGTTTAAGATTTGGTGTTTATGATTTTAAATTAAGCTCAAGAGATGTTGAAATGGGTGGAATAGTCACCCAACTCCTTTGTCTACCAACAAAGTTTTTTACTAACCAAGCAACCTTTTCAATCTACCAAATTTTTTTACTAACCAAACAACCTTTTCAGCTTTCTCCTTCATCAAGTAGTCAGTCTGCCAACAAAGTTTTTTTAAAACATTCTCCTCTTCTATGACATTGAGAAAGCCTCTCCACCACACAACAATTATTATTGATATCTATCCATTGCTCTAAACTATTGAATAGATAAGGTTTTCATCAAATAGTATATTAGGCCTTATTCAATTCCCCCTATTTTCTATTCACTTTCAGCACAAAGGTAGTTGAAAGTTTGATCTACTTCTATGTTAAGTTCATTGAATGGTTTTAGTATCTATAGTCGAGCGAAAATGGTCTTCTTCGTCTTACAAAGGTTGCTATTTTCTTAGAATGATGAACGGTAAATTATAATATATTATTTGAAGATGAGAGCGATAAAATGTTTAGAATATTTTATCTTCCTTATCTTTAGTGTGAATATAGTTAAACACAAAATATAAAGAAAAGTTTATTTCTATTGTAAATTATATCATAATTAGCTTCAAAGCTCTTGAATTTATCGGAGATTAGTATAGTTTAAGATGTTATACACAATATTAGAATCTGTTTGAGATAGTTGTAACTTTTTGTAAAGGTTGTTGTAGAGCTATTATGGGGAAATTATCTTTTTAAAATATGATGTAAAAAACAGCTTCTTAGTACAAAATTTTTTGAAAATAGTAAAAAAATAATAGTCAAATAGAAATTATGATTATGATCTACTAAACAAAATAAGAAAGTTGTCTCAAATAGACTCTAAGGTTTCGTTTGGGACAGCTTTTTTACTGCTTCTTAAAGCAGTTTTTTAGTATAAAATTAAATTTTGTACTAAAAAGTTGCTTTATAAAGCAATAAAAAAGTTGTACTAAGGCTTTGTTTGGAACAACTTTCTTATTACTTTGTTTTTTTTTTTCATATTATAGCAATAAATTTTTATATAATCATTGTTTTTTTTGCTGCTTTAAAAAAAATTTATTAGAAATATACTTTTTACAATAATTTTAAAAAGTCATTTTCTCTATATTAATTTTACAAAATAGTAAAAAAATATTGCCAAACGAAATAATTACCTCAGCAAAAATTCAAGAATTTTGAAGCTAAGCTGTTTTTCTTCTCCATACGATCACCAGGAGTACAGCTGCTAGATGTAGTTGAGGCCACATAGAAGGCTACAGGCAATGCTCCAGTAGTCGGTAAGTTCCCGTCGACCAAACCCTGTAAGGCCCGAAGCTCGCGGGTCAGCACGCGGCGCCCAACAGCCAAAAACTCCAGTTTTATTTCCATCTCCTACTCCTCCGCGAACGCACAACTCGTCAATTCACCAATCTTGTCCATCCTTTCTACATCGTACCACGTGGCGCACATTTTATGGACAATTACCATGCTCCCTGTTTGTCCGACCCGTCTCTTTCAAATTCTCAACGCGCGCGCAACTAACTTGACCTGTAGCAGGTTAACGAACTCCCCTCCACAACACAAAATTTAAGTATTGAGAGTCATTTGTTCAACTATTCCTTCCCATATGCTCCATTTTATAAGCTTTTGGTCCGCTTGCCATCTCCTTCCCCAATTGTAGCCATGGGAAATCTTCTCTCCTGTCGGGCTCCCACCAGCAAGTTCATCTTTCTGCCAGACGGCAAAGCTCGCCCGATCGAAAGCTCGATGACAGTTGCAGAGCTCATGCTCGAGCACCCGTGCCATTTTGTTGCTGAGCTTACGAGCGGCAGACCAGTTCCGCTTCCAGCTGATTATAAACTAGATGCAAAGGTGGCATATGTTGTGCTACCGATGACAATAGGAAAAGTGGCGGCGAGGTCGAAGTCTCTACCGACTATATTGAAAGATGAATCGTCGGAGTTGATGGAAGGCGGTTCGGAGATTTTGCTACATAGGCAGTACTCGAGCAAGGGGTGGAAGCCGAGCTTGGGGACCATAGAGGAGTGGTCTTTGGTGAAGAAGGTGCCGCATTGGCTCTTTTGATGTTGAAGGTTTGCCATTGAGAAGTCCAAAGGGGAGGTGACTGAGAACAGGAGACTGATAGCTACTGCTGTAGTTTGAGAGGTTTGGAAATATGTCATTTTTAAATTTAAGGATAAAAAATTATGCAATTTTAATTTGTTGTATAAATCTGCCTGTAAATTTGGGAATTATAAGAGTGTTTGAGTAAATTTATAGATCTTATTATGATTATTAATTTTATTTTTCCAAACATTTGTAAAGGTCAATCAACAATTTAAAAAAATATATATTTTTTGATGATCAAATGAACTATAAAGAGGGTATGGAAGAGGAGATCATGACTTCAACAGCTTTGGTGCACTTGATGAGTTCAATAGGGAGGAAGTGGAGGGAAGAGGAGAGGGGGAGAAAGGGTGATAACTCCTTTCACCATAATCATCTTCTTTTGGATTGTATCAAGAATCTTCTAATCTTATTGTTAATAATATATTGTGATGAAAATGTTAAATAAATAATGATTGTGCTATTAAAATTATGCTTCCTTGGGGATAACTTTCTTACAGCTTTATGAAGCAGCTTTCTATTGCAAAAATTATAACTTCAAAAAAATTTTGTATTAATAAACTGCTTCATAAAACAGTTAAAAAAGCTGTCCCAAACGAAGCCTAGATGCTCTGATAATTCTATAGATGAATTGATGTTATTGCAATTATGCTTTTACTAATTCAAATTGTTTCTATATTTATCAACTCACTTCATCTTGCGATCATTGCTTTGCATTCAGAATAACCCCTACTCCATAATCATGGACTCCACCTCGATGCTCAAGGTGGTGTCTAACGCAAGATGGTTCATTGAGTGGAGGTATCAGCCTAAGGAGAAATTATTCTGTGCGGTCACCGGACCATTCAAAGATGAATCAACATTCACCACTTCATCCGGTACACAGCGGTATAAAGCAAAAAAGTGATGTGCCACATCCTGATTCACCTCTTGATGGCGTCTAGTGACCGCACAGTAATTTCATCAGTCTAAGACCTTAGATCATCTGCAATTAACTGAATTTCCTGAACCTAGAATGATGCTCCATTGAAGTTAACAGATGGACTACTCTATGTGTGCAACGCACGCGAACTAGATATCTTCAACTCGCAGTTCACCTTGGTCTGTTGGTTAGGAGTTGTGGCTGTCAATCAAGAGGTCTTGAGTTCGAGCTAGTATTACGTATGTGTCGCCTGTGTGAATTTATCTTACTTGGCCAAACCGTCCAAAAAAAGTATCTTCAACTCTGCCACCTATTCCTGCATTATATTATTATTTCCTTCATGCCTCTCCGCCATCTTAATCTACTACAGCGTTGATTATTTAAACTTTTTAAGTTCCTTGAATAGTTAAAATTCCGAAACTCCTTGAAGAGCGAAAGTAATTATCTATAAAATGATAGGCAATGTTCAACTACTAGCTAGTGAGAATCCTCACTTGCATTTGCGACAAAAACTTCCATGGAAAATCTGGTCTCAAACAAATCTTGGCAATAGATATCGTTCATGCACATATTCCATTCCAAGTGGAAAATCCTCATGCGTTTGTTTCTCCTCATGAACGAGTTGAAGGCTGCAAGCTTGGTTGAAGTCACGAGGAGTTGGAAGGGGAGTAGGATTTAGTGGAGGCACGAGAGGTTGATAGAGGAATGTTGCAGCGAGGAATCAGCTGGGGAAAGAGAGTCGGAGTGGAGTACTTGAGGAATTGGTAGAAGTCACAGGCGCAGTTAAAGAGACACACATGTAGTCTTCTTATTCAAGAGCAAATAAAAATAGCTCAAATATTTCAAGAGAAAATAAAAATAGTTCAAATATTTTGAATTTAGTTATGCTAAATCATGATCTTCTATGACTATTCAGTAAAAGGATTCTCTACTTTCACTTCATTCAGAGATCTAAAAGGTAAAAGCATAACTAATTTTAATCATATGCCATATTCAAAAGTTAATGGATTGTAAAAAAGTAGACATAAAATTTTTTTAAAAATTGAAAGAAATATTATCAAACAAAAGTGGTCAGATAATAGAGTACCCTTTCGAAGTATTACAATTACAAAACTGTATAATTGGATCAATTCAAGATTTTTAAATAAAACTAAAAAAAAGAAGAACCCGCTCTGATATCAATTGATAGTGCTTTGATGCACTTTTTTTTTTTAGTGCTTTGATGCACTTGAATATGCAAAAGGCATGCCAAGAGAAGGGGGGGGGATTGATTATTTTAAATTTTTTTGGTATCTTTTACATAAAATCCAAAACTTAAAATATATATATGTAGTTTACTTTAATAAATTAAGCGACTCAAAACAAAACCAAAAGCAAATATAATTTTCTTAAACTTATGGAAAATAAATAATAATTTCTTTATTTTTCAATACCGAATTTAAAACCACAACAAAAAAATAATTTCCAAAAACTTCTTTCACCAATATAATCAAAATAAAACTATAGTGCAGTAATCTAAATTGCAACTAAATTGTAGAAAAGTAAGAAAATACAAATCAAGGTTTATAGAGGTTTAATTAAATTGATCTACGTCCACTCCCCAAAGGTCCTCTTTTTTATGTAATGCACTAATAGTGTCTCTCCTTAAACACATAGCTAGGTGGAGAATCTATTCTCCTTTATCACAGGCAAAGAACAACCTTTACAGACTTTGAAAAATCTTCCTCATCTAGCCTCCTCAGTTCGGCGAAGATTTCATCCCTCATTTTGCCTCCTTAGCCTAACGAAGATGTTGATTCCTCCAATCACCTCATCGGCTCAATAAAAATGATGCCCCTCTTTTAGCTTCTCACTTCGGCGGAGATGCCGCTCCCCCCTTTTGCCACTCAACCCAATAGAGATGTTGAATGTCTAGCCTCCTCGACTAACGAGTCTTTGACCCCAAAGACATATCTTCCTAATGATCCTCTCCAAGAACTCCACCAAAACACAACTGCATAATGGAAGGTGTGTTAAGCGAATATTATTCTATTATTTTGTGTTTTATATTCAATTAAATATATATTTTTTTAGTTCTTGTTGTGCATGAAAACTCAAGAAAAATAATTTGGAAATGCAAGTTAGCGCAAGCGCCACAGTGCAAATCCATTCAATGCAGCAACACTACACTTAGTATTGTGGCACCATTGGTTCAAGAAAATTGCAAAATTAATTTAGAGCTATAATGTCACTTCTTCAAGCATCACAACACTATCAACGCCCTAGTGCCATACGATGGAACACCATGAAGCTCAACATTTTATCATTTTGCAAATAATCTAATGCTACAATGCCAATATCTGAAGCACCGGGTCACCAACTTGTCGATCCGAGCACCGTAGTGACCATAACATTTCAACACTATAGTGTTAAGAAACACTACAGGAAAAACAGCTAATACCGACGGCCTTGACCGGCGGTTATATGGCTGCCGGTAATACTGATGGTTTGGCCGGCGATCTAGCCGCCGGTTAATACCGGCGGCTTAACTGGTGGTTTTTTAGGTTTATACCGCCAGTAATAGCGACGGTCGTGTAACCGCCGGATAAACCGCCGGACATTAAAAATACCGGTGGCTTTCCGGCTGCGTAGACCGTCACTGTTAAGTAAAGTCAATACCGGTGGCCCTGATCGCCGGAAAGCCACCAGTACAAGCCCTAAAATTTACAGACCCGAGCTTCCCATCTCATTTCTAATTTTCCCTTCTCTTGCTTCGGACAAGCTCTGTGCGTCGCCTTCGCCCGCTTCTTCGCTCGAGCTCGACGATTTCTCTCCGGCCGCCGACCGCCAACCGGTCGCCGTCGAAGCTTGCCGCCGTCGATCTCAGACCGGCCGCCCTAGGGTTCGAGCATTTCTCAAGCCCGATTGATTGAAACTTGATTTTATATCGTAGGGGATTTCTTCCAAACTTACTGGATTTGGGACATTCACATGAGAGTACGAGCCACACAGAGATTACTCATGCCGGTTCATCTACAGCCAAGTGGCGGCAGCCACGAAATTTTATTCAGGGTGGGGGGGCTAATTAAACATACAGGGAAATCACTTTTACCGGCATAATTTTTCTTGTGGTTTTAGATGGTTAATTTCGGCCAATCATTTTGGCCGATTGTCAATCGTCATCTTGAATGTCGAATATATTAAATTACGTTCTGTTATGCCATTAATTATTAGAGCTAAGAGGAGTTATCAGGATCATCAAAATTAAAAATGCAAATAACATGGCGAGAGAGGAGCAAAAAGGGGAAAGGAAAGTTCGTGGCTCGAGATTGTGAGTTGCGAGAGGATGAGCAAAGGGGAAAACGAAGCGATCAGTTTGGGTCGAGGCCAAAGCAAGCCATTTGGAAGTCAGTCTCAGTTTGTTGGCTTGTGATATGAGTATTGTTTCCAGCAGTGAAATTTTTTATAAGAAAGTTTACTTGTGGAAAATTAGAAAGAAAACTATTCCGAACAACGCCTAAAGCAATTCTTGCATGTAAAATCATGAATTATTTAGGTATTTATTATTCATTAATAATGATAATTTTTAAATTTGTAAACTAATGCCTCACATTTAAATTTTCTTTAAAATGAGTTAAAAAAAATCAATTAAACGTATTTACACATACCTTAAATAAAATACAATAGCTTTTTAAGATCCATTTTTAACAAAACAATTTGATCAAATAAATTGTAAATATTTTTGTTGATTGAATTCTACATGTAATAAAAATGGTGACTAATAATTATAACTCAAATTTCTTCCTTGTTCTCTAAAAAAAAATTGTTTTTTTAACTCTTATGCGATTATGCCACATGTCAGCCAAAAAAAAAAAAAAAATTTAAGGGGGAGGCACGTGTCCCCCCCC